CCCCCCCCGCTTCTAATACTGCTCTAAACATTCATTTGTAGGTTTTTGTGTGAATAAGAGATTTTCTTTCTCTAGGATAAATACCAATAAGTGGGATTCGTGGGTCAAATCATATCTTTAAATTTTTAAGAAAATGTTGGACTGTTTTTCTAGAGTTTCTGTACCATTTTCATTCCAGTCAGTAATGTATGAAAGTTTTACTGGCTTCACATCTTAATCAGCATTTGGTGTCAGTATTTTCTATTTTAGCCATTATATTAAATTTGTAGTAGGACTCCATTGTTTTAGTTTTCATTTCACTAGTGACTAATGATGTTAGGCATCTTTTCATGTGTTTATTTCCTATCTGTACATCTTTGATGCAAGGTCCTCAAATCTTTTACCCATTGTTTTATTGGGTGGTGGTTGTTTTTTTTTTTTTTTTACTTTTAAAAGGAAATTTTTGTATTTCAGACACCATTTATAATATTTACATTATTATAAAATATTGTTAAATCATTTGATTTAATTTCTCCCCGTCCTTTATTTACTTTAATGGTCCTTTGTGTATAGATAATTTATATTATCTCCACTTTTTTATGTCTATTTTTCTCATCTAACATATTCTAATAAATGTCATATTTAATGACATTTCACGGTTTTCTTACTGTTGAGTTTTGAGATTTCTTTATTTCGGATACACTTCCCTTTGTCTGATATGTGAATTGTAAATAGTTTCTCCCATTCTGTGGCTTGTCTTTTCATTCTTTTAAGTGTCTCTCATGGAACTAAAGTTTTAAGTTTGGATGAATACAGTTTTTCAATTTTTTTCTTTTATGCATCATGCTTTTTTTTGTTGTTGTCCTAAGAACTCCTTACCTATTCCATGCTCATGAAGATTTTCTCTTATGTTTTATATGAAGAATATTATGTTTTACACTTAATATTTAGGTTTATGATCCGTTCTGGGTTAATTTCCATTTGGTTCTTTTTTACAGCCTCTATTTTTTTCATGAAAATTTCCATCTTTCAATTTCTTTTAAGTGAATTTTGCCTACTTTTTGGAGTATTGTTATAACTGAATTAAAGTCTTTTTCTAATAATCTCAACATTTGGGTCATCTTGGGGTTGGTGTTTGTTGATTGCCTTCCCTTCAGAGTTATTGAGATTGTTCTGTGTGTTGAATTTTGTGTGTTGAATTTTGTGTGTTGAATTTTGTGTGTTGAATAATTTCATTTTGTGTGTTGAATAATTTCATTTTGTGTGTTGAATAATTTCATATTTTATCCCAGATATTATGTTAAGAGATCCTGGATCGTGCTGAAATCCTTCCAGCCTTGGCTATGCATGCACAGTTCAGAAGTGAGCCCAGTATTTATGATTTAAAGGATCCCTTTCTCCAATTCTTCCCTCTGTGATACTCTTTATATTCTTGGGCTCTATTTATTTTCCTCCTTGGTGTTCTGATTAGAAAGCCCAGGCTTGGAGCACCTGGTGGCTCAGTCAGTTAAGCATGCAACTCTTGATTTTGGCTCAGGTCATGATCTCAGTGTTGTGAGATCGAGCTCTGCACTGGGGCTGCTGGGCATGGAGCCTGCTTAAGATTTTCTCTCCCTCTGCCCCTCCCTGCCAACCCCTGCTTATGCTCTCTCTCTAAAAAAAAAAAGAAAGAAAAGAAAAAAGCCCAGGGTTTTTCCTCTCACAGTGTTGTATACTTTTCCACACCAAGGCCTGTAATGGGGCTAAGTAGTGAGGGCAAAGAATATGGGGCCACCACTGCCATCTCCCTCTCTGCCATATTGTTATTGCTCCTGAGTCACTGTACCTTTATTATTGGATCTCATCTGGGGCAGAGCCTGGAGAATTAAAAGAGCTCCATCTCACAGGGGACATTACTCCCAGATGGGGATAGGGTAAAGAGAGAGCTGCTTCATTTTTGTCGCTACTTGTAGTCTTCATCTTCCTACCTCGTCCACCCACTTTTGTCTACCTTGCAGAGGCCTCTGTTAGTTTATTTTGTGTTTTGTTTAGAGTTTTTAGCTGTAATTAGTGGAAGAAATAGAGTGGAGTGTCCTGATTCCATTTGGACAGGAACTGAGAGTCTCTAGGTTAACTTCTTAACAGAATCACTCTGATTCTTATATATAAGAGACTGATGGGGGAAAGGATTGAAGCTTGAAGCCCTATTAGGAGCCTCTTGAAATAGTGCAGTTAAGAGATGATGGTGGTTTAGACTTGGGTAATAAGAGTGGTGAGAAATGTTTGTGTTCTGGGTATATTTTGAATGTAAAACAAATAGTATTTTCTGATAGAGGAAATGTTGTATGGAAGACAATGGAAGACAACATGACTCCAGAGGTTAGACCTGGGAGTCTTGAATATTGAGATCACTATGTACTGTGAAGGGAAGACTATGGGAGAACAGATTTTGGAGGGTGGAACTAGGTATAAACTTCTTATCAGACATCAAAATGAAGATGTTGAGTAGGCAGTTGGATATCCTATTGGAATCTAGTGCAGAGGTCTCTGCTGGAGATATAAATTTGGGAGTCATTGGCATATAGATGATATGGAGGAGCAATGGGACTGGCTGAGGTCACCAATGGAGTGAGCCTGAGGCGCTTTAATATTTAGGGATCAGGAAGATGAAGAGAAAACCAGCAAATGATTGGCCAGTTTTAGAAGGAAATCGGAAGGATATATGCCATGAAAACCAAATGAAGAAAGAGGTAGAACTAATCTTTTTGTCAACTGTGACTGATAGATTAAATAACTGGAAGGCAAAGAATTGACTATTGCAGTTAGCAATATGGAAATCATTGGGGGCTTTGATAAGAGCAGTTTTGATGGAGTGATGGGAATGAAAATCTGATTTTCAGGTTTAGGAGAGAATGGAGGAGTGAAATTAGAGATAGTAGGACTCTTTAAGAGTTTTGGTGTACAAAGAAAGGAAGAAACATGATAGCTGGAGGGGAAGTGAGGTCAAGAGACAAGGGTTTTTTTTTGTTTGTTTTTAAGGTTGAGATACAGCTAATAGAAAGAGGACACAGGAGAAAGAGAAAAACTGACGATGAAAGGAAGTAAGGAAATAATTGCTGGCACACTTCTTAAATAGGTGAGAGAGGATGGAATCTAGTGTATAAGTAAAGGGATTGGCCTTTGCCAGGAGCACAGACACTTCAGCTATAGAAATGAAAAGAGATTAAGATGCAGTTGGATGGGAAGATGTACTTCTGGGAGCTTTTGAAATTTTTCTTTTGCTTGCTTTCTGTTTTTGCAGTGAAACAGCAAATAAGATGATCAACTGAGATAAGGATTGGGAAGGAGTTGTTGGAGGTTTGAGGAGAGAGGAGATATGAAATAATCATCTTTTCCACATTCTTTCCACATCAATATTTAGCAAACTGGCCTGTAGGCCAAATGTGGCCTGTGATCTCTCTTGAAAATAAAGTTATTAGAACACAGCCATGTCCACTTGTTAATGTATTGTCTATGACTGGTCTTGTACTACAGACTCAGAGATGAGTAGTTGTGACAGAGATCGTATGTCATGAAAGCCTAAAATATTTGCTATTTGGCCCGTTATGGAAGAGTTGTGTTGACTCTTGGTTTAGGAGGTAGGAAGGGAGAATGGAGGGTGTCTGAGAAGACAGGAAACATAGATAATATTATTTTATTTTTTACAGATTGAAGATGTAATTCAGTTGGGATTTATCATTGTAAAAGAGAACTTTTGTTGTTATACACTTTTTTTCTCAGATTATCAAAATGACATCTCAAAATTTAAAAATTCTAATTGAACTCTCAGAACTCAATTTGAGAGACTAGGCAATAGGGAATAACTTCATAAAGCTAAAAAAGTTGCACATTTTCCTTACAGCTGTGCAAAAAAGCCCTTAAGTAGACTCTGAAGCCCTATCCCCATAAAAATGTACTTAGGCAAAACACTATACTTTTAAGTACCTGGTGTTAATAAATACTTTATGCCAGTCATATCCCCAAAGGATATTCTAGCTATTGATACCACTCTCTTACTAAATTTTCATTACTATATATAAACAACTAGTTAACCTTAGCTATACACAGTAAGTACCTGGAGTGTTTTAGAAAATAATGCAACCTGGTCCAACCCCCAGAGATTCTATTGTAGTTGGTCTGCAGTGTCACCTGGATATCAGAGTTTTCTCTTTTTTTTTTTATTTAATTGTGGTGACATACACATAACAAAGTTTTTATTAGTGACATTTAATATATTCACAGTGTTGTGCAACCATCACTCTATGTATCTATCAAGAACATTTTTGTCACTTCAAAAGGAAACCCTTTACCATTAAACATTTGCTATGTATCCTCTCTCAATTGCTAGTGTATAGAAATAAAACTGATTTTTGTGTGTTGATATTGTATCCTGCAACTTTGATGAATTCATTTATAGCTCTAATAGTTTTTTGTTGTATATTCTTTAGGATTTTTTTTATTTATCAGATCATGTCATCTATGAATATTTACTTCTTCTTTTCCAGTTTGGATATTTTTTGTTTCTTTCTCTAAT